ATCCATGCGCATGCGCTACCTTTTCCAAATCGGCAAATCCCCAATCAGCCGATTCCCGACCCCAACTCTCTCAGACAGGAGATTTCGACCCCGGCCTCCGATGACGGCTTCGCAACCTCCGACGGCGGCCTCGCCTTAGTTCCCGAGTCCCGGCCCCAACCTCTGAAGGCTGCTTTACCTTCGTTCTCGAGTCCCGACCGCAAGTCCGACGAGAGATTCAGCAGATCTGGAGATCCACCGCTGCCGCAGCACCTTCGCAGACGCCCGGATCCACCAGCGACGACTGCATGCACGAGGGAGATGCAGAGCCGCCGTGCGCTGAAGACGCTACTCTGTCTCGAAAGTTTCTCCAGACCCCTGCTTCTGCTCTCCGTGCTCTGCAAAGAGTGGGTCGGTTGGGGGAGATGAAGAGTTGAAAACGAAAAAAAGAGAAAGGCTTACCGGTTTTCGGATAACCGGGAACCATAACCGTTACCGACAATCCGGTAAGCCGGTTAACCGGAAATTACTCGGTACCGGTAGTCGGATTCAAAGCTGGGCATGTCGGTAATACCGATAACCGGTAAATCGGTAACCGGTTTTACCGATACCGACCGATTACCAGCCCTAGTTCTATAAATTCTTATTTGATAGGGTGGACCCAAATGTACATCCCAACAGAGAGAAGTTGGATAGTCTGGTTCAGAAAAGGTTGAGTGAGGAGGAGAAGTTGTTTCTAAGTGCTGATTTCACTGCAGATGATGTTAGAAATGTGGTAATGCACATGGATCCACATAAAGCTCCAGGCCCTAATGGGTACTCGGCTGGTTTTTACAGGAAAGCTTGGTCAATAATTGGGGCTGATGTTACTGCTGCTGTCTTGGACTTTTTTCACTCTGGGAGATTGCCAGGTAGTGTTAACTCTGCTGCTATTACCTTACTTCCTAAAATTCCATCTGCTTGTGCCTTGAGGGATTTTAGACCAATATCATGCATCAATCTGCTATACAAGATAATTGCTAAGCTGCTAGCAAATAGATTGAAAAAAGTTCTGGCTACAGTTATTAGTGGTAATCAGTCTGCATTCATTGAAGGTAGAAGGATAGTGGACAACATTCTCATGGCTCAGGAAATGGTTAGTGGCTATCATAAGAAGCAATTATCTTCACGTTGTGCCATTAAAGTAGATTTAATGAAGGCCTTTGATTCGGTAAACTGGGAATATTTGTTTCTGATGCTAGATATAATGGGATTCCCTGCTTCTTTTTGCAAGTGGATTTCTCTCTGTGTCAAAACTGCTAGGTTCAGTATTTGTGTGAATGGAGGGTTGTGTGGGTTGGTGCTAAAAGGGGAGTGAGACAGGGGGATCCTCTGTCTCCCTATCTGTTTACCATTGCAATGGAAGGCCTGTCTTTACTCCCGAATGCTGCTGCTGCTTCTGGACTTCTTCCTTTTCATCCACAGTGTAAAAAAGTGGGGCTTACCCACTTAAGTTTTGCAGACGATCTATTGATCTTCTCTGAGGGTTCTGCTAGGGCTATTGTAGCAGTTCAGGGGGTGCTTAATGAATTCTATGAAATGTCTGGCTTGCAATGCAATCCTAGGAAGTGTGAGGTGTATTTTGGGGGTTGGTCTGTGGACTTTAAGAATAATGCACTGGAGAGATCTGGGTTCCAGAAAGGTAAACTTCCTGTTCGTTACTTGGGGCTACCATTGATCTCAGGTAAGCTTTCCTCTGCAGAGTGTGATCGTCTAGTGGATAGAATAACTCAGAAGATCAAAAACTGGAAAGTGAAAAAACTTAGTTATGCAGGCAGGTTACAATTACTATCCACAGTGGTGATGGGGGTGTTACAGTTTTGGATGCAGGTTTTTCTGCTCCCCAAGTGTGTTCTTAAGAGGGTGCACAAAATTTGTTCTGATTTTCTATGGCATGGGGGTGAGGAAGGCAGGGCTAAAGTGGGCTGGGACAAATTAGCAAGGCCTAGAAAGGAAGGGGGTTTGGGTTTAAAGGAGCTCTTTACTTGGAACCAGGCCTGTACAACTAGGCAGTTGTGGTTGATTCTAATGCAAAGTGGTACTATCTGGGTTGCTTGGATTATGCAGTATAGGGTGAAAGCGGGTAGTATTTGGACAGTAAAGTCCTTTGCAAGTAGTTCGTGGGCATGGAGGCGAATACTCAAGGTTCGATCTCTAGTCCAGCCTCATTTCTTTGGGCATGGGGCCTCGCTCTGCTGGGATGGAAACCCGATGGCAAAGTTCACTGTTAAACTGGTATGGGAATCTCTAAGGAAGAAATGGCCAGTGGTGGAGTGGGAAAAACTTTTTTGGGGGAAGGGGTATATCCCTGGACCTAGTTTCATTGTGTGGCTGGTCTTGCAGGACAGTATAGTAACGAGGGACAAACTCCTCAAATGGAGTAAGTTGGTGGATGGATCTTGTGTCTTATGTAGTGCAGGTCTGGAAACAAGAAACCATTTGTTTTTCCAGTGTTCATTTTCACAGGAATTGCTTGCAAAGCTTCACAGCACGCATTGGAGCAGGGGGTCCTAGCAAGACACTGTCTCTGCTGTCTGTCTGCTCCGATCACAGAGGACAGCAGAAGGGAGGATGATAGGCTGGCTATGGTGTTTCTGTGTATCTAACATTTGGAAGGAGAGATGCAAGCGGGTTTATGGAGCTGTTCCACGTAGTGCAGAAGTGGTGTGCAAATCGATTTTGCAGGATTTTAGATTCCTCAGTACATTTAACATCGCTGTGGCATGTGATTTACAGGTTTTGGATTTGGTCTGAGATGTAAAGGGCTGGGATAGTATTACTCTCGGGTTTTTGTGTTGGTTCTTGGTGGGGATTGCTTTCTTTCTTTAGGAGAATGGGAGAGAGATGTTCTCCTGTTCTCGCGTGGGCTTGGCTCACTTTCGTTGTATCTGTTTGGCTTTAATACGAAGGGGCAACTGATTCAACGGGAAAAAATTACATAACAATGGATCGGTTAAACCAGCCCAGTTCATTTGGTTTCATATCAAACCGTTTAAAACCGTTCGGTCCATCCCCAACTGTCCAAAGAAATGCACTGAACCGCCTTAATAACTCATTGATGGTTCTACTGGTCCAACCCCTAATGTGGTTTGGTTCACATGACAATGAGTTTTACTATGGAACTTATGATGCTTACGCCATGCTTAACATTTGCGTTCTTTTTAACTTATCTAGTAGGTCTATTTAGTAATAACGACCCGTTTCACATATATTTAATAGTGGTTCGTCAAAATATTTAGTTGCGGACCAAATATTTATCTTACATATGTTCGTTGCGAAATGCAGCCACACCATAGATCATCGACCTCGTCGGGAATAAGATGTGGCAAATAGGATATCATACACATTTTTGTTTATAATCCTCCGACACATCCCACCATCGAAACTTTCAAACCAATATTGATCAACATGCATTGAAAACTGTCGTTTTGCGTTTCATCTTCACTCCATCAGAAAATACGAATCGCCGTATACCGAGATAACCAAATCGCGTCGTTTCCGATCCCAATCGTTGTACGCAGGACAATGCTAGAAGGCATCAATTCAACTATGCACCGGACAGCACGCAACCACACAAAATGTTGCAAAAGGAAAAAAGGGATGAATGGTAAGAGATAACGGCTGAAAGGGAGAGGTGGGGGTGTTGAATAGATGCCATATATATTATTGTGGGTGGAAATTGAAGGTCTTCAGTCATTGAAGTAAAGCCGGTTCAAAAGAAAACCCAATTTTTAATTTTGGTTCTTGTGGGGTGGGTGGTGGGTTTACCGGTCAAACTAATTACCCTGCTGGCTTGGCATTTAGTTTTTGGCGGTCAACTTCCGATCGCATTATAGGGGAAGGAAGGAAAGGAAGTTTCTTGCGGCTGCCAAACTCCCCACCACTACTTAGCTCGTTGTACGTACTTGGCGTGGAATGGATGCTGATTTGAACTCTTCTCTTGGTTGATTAATAGTTTAATACCAACAAACATTCTAGATATGTGATTAGATCATGGGCCCAATTGATTTCGATCCCCTCCTCATATCGTGGAGATAATGACAAAGTGCTTAAAGACGTACTTAGTCCCTTCATCCAAGGCAAGTCTTATGCCTGGTCTATATAAGTGCTTCCGGCGGCGGATTCAGGACCGAGTAGAGCACTGAGCCACATTTTGAAAAGAGGCAGAGTGGGCTGGGCTGTAGCTCGACGAATACTTAAACGATTATCGAAAATAAAAAAAATTTACAAGTGTTATACTAGCTTTGATCCAAAGAAGGGCTGGGCCGCGTCTCGGGGGCGGCCCCCTCCTGGATCCGCCGCTGAGTGCTTCTCTCGTTTCAAGACTAAAGGAGGTGGCCAACACACAACTAACTCCATAAATCGCGATTCTATGTATAGCGTTTTCCTTTTTATATTGGTAATATATATGTTTGAAATCCGAGACCTTCACATTCAAGATCGATGATATTATTACTGGACCAAATCCTTGTATGCGAGATTCTATGTATATCATTACTAGCTCATATTATTATTATATTCTCAATTATCTGGAAAGTTTTGTTGCACGCCCCAGGTATATGTGGGGTATCACATATCCTTAGTAAGAAAGCTATATCTAGACGACCTTGAGGCTTGAAGTAATCGGAGTTTGGAGCATGATACTATGCCCTAAGTCCTATCAGTACAATTTATGCCATAGTTTTCAAAATCATACACCCTAACAATAATTTAATTAGAAACAATAATTAACGGTTGTAATTATTTCCAATTTATCCAACATATTTGACGCACCACTTGGGGTTTATGGTGTGGTGTTTAGAGAATTAGGATCTCGAGTTCACTTACTAAGGGTTTAGGATTATATAGTATCATGTCCAAAATCTATTAATTCAACATCTAAACAGGTGAGTTTTGGTAAAATAATAATAAAATCCTATATTTGCATATGAAATGGAAAATGATTGTCCTCATCAATTTAAGGTGACATAAATCTTTTTTGCCAATTTACCAAAACTTATTATTAATTGATTGTCATAAATTAATTTTACTACACTATAAGTGATATTCACGTTATGAAAGAATTAATTACCTAATTCCAACTTCTCGCTCTGCCGCAACAACTGTCTGGGGATGTATCAAACCGATTAGTAATCCATGTCACTTATTGTAGATTCGATCTCAAAATTGTAATGGATTATGGATGTATACCTTGGAAAGGACGTTGTCGGGCACTTGTAATTGCATCGTGTACTTGCAAGTTGCAACACATACTATGTTTATGTTTATATATATATCAGCAATTGGTAGGGTAGACTTCCACTGTCATTCTAAATACATAACGACTTGATATGGTTCAGGTTCTTAGTAGCTCTGGATAAATGGCCACAAGCTCAACGTACTATATATGTTTACAGTACTTTCAAACCACGACCTCTCATATCACGTTGAGCCGCGTCGCTGCGAGGCTATCGACACAGATGAGTGAAATCACCACAGGCTGACTGAACAGCATGCAGCAAGTTCCTGATAGTGTACCATGCCGCTTCTAACAAGAGAGTAGAGATCCACTTCTCCATTCCTACTTATCATCCTGCACCAAAATCCACATACGTTAAACCAGGCCGGAAGCGCGTTGTAAACGGTCTAGGAACGCATCGATGTAAACTGCGATCGGTTTGCAGCTAAACGAGCAAAGATATGCTGGGCATCACGCTACACATCTGATAATGATTTCATGATCAATGAATCATGTATCGAGCAGCTCGACCAACAAACTTTTGATTAAATCGTCTTTCATTACTGGTATGGCATGCGTAATTAGAAAGACATCAGCTGTAAAAAAAGGAAAAAGCTACCTGATAATTTACTCAGTGCAACTGTGAACCATTCTCTATGCTGGCTTCCAAGTTCCATCCTCTGAATATAATGAGAAAAATAATTAGCTCGTGATCTGGTAAGTATTAATTTGCTCCACAGAGAATAAATTATCAATATTGGCATACCTCTCGGAGGCTTCAACCTTCAGCTCATCTATCTGCCTCTGGACATTAGCACATGCTGCTTGAATTTCGATATTTTTCAAGGTAAGCTCTCTCCACTGTGTTGACAGGGCATTCAGCTCGTATGCAGTTGTTTGCTGTCATTTAATGGAAAAGGTTCATCTAGTCTGTTTAAAAGTTCAAGAACTCCACAGAATTAAATACAAGAGGTTGTAATGAAGTCTTGGTAAGTAACCTGATGGTACTTCCTCTCACGGTTTACTGCTTCAATCTTTTCATTGTGTTCCTGAGCCAGTTTCTGCATCCTGAAACCAATGATACAGTATTGACAGTAAGAACATGAGACGGTGATTTTTAAAAAGGTAAAGTTATAGTTGAGCAATACTTCGATTCTGATGATAATACTTTGAAGAAAATATGCACAGATCTGTAACTGGTTAAGTAACAGAAACAAAAAAAGATGTACGACTGAGAAAAGAACAGGCCCAGAGATGCGAGAACTACAGCCCTAGAGAACAGCTATAAATTTTCATTTCTTTCATCCTACCAACAAGCATAGAAGTGCAAGGCACATATAAAGATGCACAGGGTGCCTTCGACAATGGATGCAATGCTATATGGAAGCCTGAATGCAAGGAGGTGAAACTCAACCTTAAGCAAGAACACATATGTGGATATGTAAATGTAACCACACATATCAATAGGAAGAGGGTGAGGAGAAAAGGAACAAAGAGAACAACAGTGTTGAATATATAAAATACCTGGATAAAATTCCTTCTAGTTGCCGGTTGTTCTGTACCCATATATCAGGACCATATTTTGACATCAAGTCCAAATTCTCCACCCTGAAAACCAACTCAATAGTAAGTTCAAAGAATCAGTTGCTCGATTTCACAAAATAAGTCACTTCCTACTCAGACCAGGAAGATATAATCAAATACAATTAATAAAAGACAAAAGAAAACAATAGAGCCTATGAAGACAGCCCGGACACCTTTTAGTTCCACTACTTTCCTCTACATATCTATCATCTGACAGTCCAAAGGACTCCAAAGCAATTTAGTAGAATAATTACACACCTAAGAACTTGATGCTGAAGCAAGCGTTGTGCTCTCTGAAGTGATTGCTTCCAGGCAGTTTCATCATTCACCTTATTTGCAGAAGGCTGATCCAAATGGGCATATCGCGAAAAATCAATAGCAACTGGAGGCTTCCCTGCTCTCACGCGTTCATATTCTTTGGCAAGCATCGGATAGTTCTGTATCCAAATTTCAATAAGAGAGACATGTTAATACTCATTCTTCAGATAAGTCTAGTTTAGATCACCAAGGAACAAACTTTTGTCGATCCGGTTGAACATGAAACATTTTCACACGCTAAAGGACGTCTTCTAGTTCTAACAAGATCCTAAATCACACATGACTACTTTTTACCAGGCAACTTCTCATGCACATTTAACTTGAAAAACAATCTCCAAGGAGACCAAACCTTCACGAATGCGAAACAACGATATCAAAAAGTGGGGTTTTAGCCTAACTAAAGAGCTTCAGAACACCCTTACAGCACATGAAAATCCCAATCCAAGTCCAGTGGAAGCACTTTCTGACACACCATTTACAAATTATACTCTTCCGTCCGTCAATCAATGACAATGTCTGGTACTTGGCAGCGCAAAGCAACATTACATCAGAACCACGAGGGATGAATTTTAAAGCATTCCCCCCTTTTCACTGCTAATTCCTGGTTCAAACAAAGAACAAAAGGAAACTTCTTTCTTTCATGGAGGCTAACCTCGAAACTGAAGCGAGGTAAGGGAGGCAAGTCCTTCAGGAAGTCCGCGGGTTTCTTGGAGCTCCTTCGCATTTCTTCCTCCACCAGGCGGTCTACTTCTGCCTTGATGGAAGGATTTCCGTAGTCTTCGTCGATGTAGGGCAACGCGTCGATAATTTCTGCATTGGAAGCGCTTGACCAGGGACGAGAAGCATCTGGAGCGGCCTCCAGCATCAACATATCCCCATTGTTCTGGCTGCCCTGAGCAGTCGCCATTGTAGTAATTCGCCGACGGCCAGGCTTGAATGCTTGATGTCTGTCGAGCCTGTAGCGGGAGCTTGGGCGCGGCAGATTGTAAGGCTAGGGTTGTCGATTTCGCTGCTAATTTGGTTACTTGTTGGCGCTGTGGCCAAACTCCGCGGTAAATTTACTTGATTAGCACCCAAATTTCAATATCATTATCAAACCCACCACTCAAAATTTTCTATTAACCTCTCGTAACAGCAATTGTTTTTTTTTTCATACTGAGCACCCAAACTTCAATACCATTATCGAATCCATCAGTCAAGTATTTTATTAGCCTCTACCTCAATTGTTATATCATAAGGAGTAGGGCTGGAAGTTTGGTACCAGTATTTGGAATATACCGAATTTGTCCATATTTGGCATTATCGAATACACGTATTATTTTTGGGATTGAGATTGAGATTCAATTTCAATTGTTATTCAATATTAGGGATTACGGTATTGGGATCGATAATATACCGAAATACCAAACAATACCGAAATATAAGCTAGTATGTATTTTATGCTCTCAACTAGACTTCTCTAATTCACTACTACACGACCCTCAACCACCAATCTCTTGATATTTTCATAAAACCAAAAAACAAACACTAGTATTAGTCTTCTCTCAGCCTCCAATTTGTCAAATTAAAGATTACCAAGGACAAAACTTGAGATGTCACCTCTTCTCCATTCTCTTATCCATATCCTAACTCTATCCAAACTCAAGACTCTTTGCTTAGTCTCTTTTTCCTATATTTAACAATCAAATCTAATTTATATATTTAATTAATAACTGCAAAGGTAATTAATTTCGTATTAGATAATACCGATTGGGATACCGAAGTACCGATTGAGATACCGAAATATTTAGGGATTGAGATTGGGATGCCGAAATTATTTAGGGATTGGAATGGGGATTGATTTTAGGGTGTAATTCGATATTCGGGATTTCGTTATTTGGTATTGGGATACCGATATCGTACCGATTTCCACCCCTAATAAGGAGGCATTTGGGTCGAAATGTCTCATTTGACAATTTCGTAGCAATTTATCCACATGACCCGTACGAATTTCATGACTCTAGCCCTGTTCACTTTCATTTTCGTTTATTGTTTTCTGTTTTCATGTCATAAATTTGGCAACCGAAACCAAAAAACTAGTTTACTTTTCATTATGTTTCTATTCGTTTCCAACTATGAAAACGAAAAATGACAATTTCCTGCTATTTTCCAAAACGACAAAATATTGTTTTCACCTGTTTTCAACGTATATTTTATTGAAAACATAAAATAGTAAGTAAACAGAACCTAAGTAATACAACCTACATGACTAAACTAGATTACTTGGAGGATGTCACGACGGTGGATAATTAATCATATGAGAATGAACATTAACCTCGACAAGGAAAAGGTTCAAAGAAACACTGGTTAATTGCATGGTTGGTCACTGAGATTACAAAAAACGTTCATATTTGGTCACTGTAAATATTTAAATCCAATCTTGATCACTCAAATTAGTTAAATGGTTCAAGTTTTGTCACTCTCCGTCCAACTCCGTTAAATTTGTTTGATGTGGCAGTCAACCCTCAAAGTTGACTGTTAACTCAGTGACGTGGCAATTAAAAAATAATAAATAAAATAAAATTTTAATCTTCTACCATTTCCAACTCATTTTCACAATAAAGTAAAAAAAAAAAATAAAACAAAAAAAAAATATTATAATTACAAATTGAAAATGGGCTCATCACCGACGAACAACAACAACCACCACCTCTCCTCCTCCGCCGATGACAACAACCACCGCCTCCGCCGTCTGTACCACGACCTCTCCACCATCCTCCCCCACCGACTCGGCCCCGACGATCTCCTCTCCAAGGACGTTCCCCTGATCCTCGAGCAGCACAACAACGATCTCTCCCTCGTGGAATTTCTACACAATCTCTTGTTTCATTCAATTTGACATGAACCTTCCATTCCATAAACTTTGTGTTTTGCTTCGATCTGTGGCTCAATCTTTGTATTAGTTCCTTTTATGGATCTAGCTATAATCAGTCAATAATTGACTTGTTGGTGATGGGTTTCTCGTGAATTTCAGTTTGAAGAAGAATTAATTAGCTGATTGGAAAGAACAAGATGATGACCATTGAGGACTTGGGATTCTGCAGCGACATGGATTTTTTCTCCTCCGCGCCTTACATGGGCGGCGCCGCCGCCTCCGCGGAACATCTGGTCGCCCCACAAATCGACACAGATCCGAACGCGGACGACGACTACAGCGACGAGGATGAGATCGACGTGGACGAGCTGGAGCGCCGCATGTGGAGGGACAAGATGCGCCTGAAGAAGCTGAAAGAACAGAGCAAGACCAAGGAAGGAATCGATGTGGCCAAGTAGCGTCAGGGGAACGTCCTTGGAGAGGAGATCGTCAGGGCCGAGTCGGTGGGGGAGGATGGTGGAGAGGTCCTGGTACAGGCGGCGGAGGCGGTGGTTGTTGTCATCGGCAGCGGAGGAGAGGTGGTGGTTGTTGTTGTGGTCGGTGATGAGCCCCTTTTCAATTTGTAAATATAATATTTTTTTTTTGTTTTATTTATTTTACTTTATTGTGAAAATGAGTTGAAAATGGTAGAAGATTAAAATTTTTATTTATTATTTTTTAATTGCCACGTCACTGAGTTAACGGTCAACTTTGTGGGTTGACTGCCACATCAGACAAATTTAACGGAGTTGGACGGAGAGTGACCAAACTTGAACCATTTAACTAATTTGAGTGACCAAGATTGGATTTAAATATTTACAGTGACCAAATATGAACGTTTTTTGTAATCTCAGTGACCAACCATGCAATTAACCCTTATTTGTCCTTTGAATTTTATTAATACGGAACAAAAATAGATTATATTGACATTTGGATCGGTCAAAACCAAGCCAAATGTCAATCTGATCCTTGGTACTAAGATGTATGTCACTATTGAACTGCGGTTCTCATGAGTTTGGTTTGGTCCGAAATAGCAGAATATCCGAAAGATGAGAATGGAAATAATTAACTTACGTTTGGTATTTAATGAATTTCATAAGTTTTTAAGAATTCATTTTGAAACAGTTTTCGTGTGTGTGTGTTTGGAATGTAAAAGAATTCATTTTCAATTATAAAATTTTGAATTATGTGGAATTGGGGCTAGTTTTACAAATTTCGAGGAATTGAAGTGGAATTCCAAATGAATTTCACTAGTACAATGACATAATTATCCTCAATTATGAAGTAAACTGATCGACTGAGACTCTTAGTTTCTTTCTTATGCTAAGCTGCAACACTGATACTATTTATTATTCCTCGTTTTGCTTGATCGGATTGGTTGTATGATAGTTTTGACACTTGTGTTTTTAGAAGATGAATTTTAAATGAGTAATTTTATATAATAATATTGTTTCTACTGTAAATTAATAAGGGTATTGTTAAATTTTTTAATTTAATTCAACTTTAAGCGTATCTCACAAATATGTTTCGAAAATATAACTAAATTTATTTTTAAAAATTTGAATCTAACATTCCAAACATAGAAATTTATTTTACAAGATTTCATTTTAAAGTGAAATAAATTCTGAATTGATTCTATTCCAAACTTTCTGTAAGATAATTTTTCAATTTTAGAAAGCCATAGAGAAGGCGCAAATAACTGGGCGGGAGCACCAAAATCAGCCCTCCAATCGTGCTGCTCCCCGATATGGAAGAATTCCCTATTGAATAAGCGCATTAAGGACTCAGCTAACTCTACCCTAGCCGCCGCCGAGCAGAAAAAATATAAAAGGAGCTTCTTGATGTCACCTTCTGAAGTCATAAGAACGTTGAAGCGCCGGAAAACAAAGCAGAGCTCCAGAGGCGAGACTATGGCGGCGAATCGCGGCGGGTAAGCCACTAAGCCAACCTCTGTTTTTGCTTGCGTTTCATTTCGTCATTAACTGATTAAGAACTGCCTCAATTTCCCACCACCCGCACTAATCACAACAATAACAATGAAACCAGGCCGATTGCTGCTGCTGCTGAATCCAACGAGGCTTGGTCCGAATTGCCCGGGGAGCTCTTGTGTCTAATCGATCAACGGCTAACCGAATCGAAAGATTTCATCCGATTCCGAGCCATTTGCAAGCCGTGGAGGGAAACCCTAATGGCCAATTCCCCGCGTAAGTTCAAATCCCCTGTTCCTTGGCTGATGCTTCCGTACTGCCGCGATTCGGCCATGGTTGGTGGATTGTGCAGCAGCGGAGGCAGCAGGTGCAGGCTGTTTTACGACGTCGGGGAGAAGAAATTTCGCCACATCGAATTGCCGGAAAATGGTTTGGGCAGAACGGTTGCTTGTCGTGGCTCTGTTTCAGGCTGGGTATTCACTCTGCAGGGTGGGACTCTGCTCTTGACGAACCCCTTTACGGGTGATCGGATCTCGCTGCCGGCGATCACCGCTTTCCCCGATGTGCTGAGTTACCGTCCGGAAAAGCACCGCCACGAGGTCCTCCATGTCGATCGCGAAGGCAGCAGGACAGCACGGGGGAAGAGGTTCATGGAGAAGAGATTCATTGTGAAAATGGCTCTGTCGTGTCCGCCAGAGGAGGAGGATGAGGAATGTGTTGCGATGGTCATTCGGACGTCCATCAGCTTTCGTCAACAGCTAGCTTTTTGCAAGTTGCATAGGAATAGGGCTGGCCTTGATGAAGAAGAAGAAGAAGAACAAAGATGGACATTGATTCCGCGACCCCCGTGGTGGCATTGTCTTATGGATGTTGTGTTTTGGAGGGGTCAGTTTTATGTCGTCGATCAAGCAGGGAAGGCTTTCGTCTGTGATATTTCTGAACCACATCGTCCGGAGCTGCGGTCGGTCACTGACATGGACGAGATTAAGGGCGCACCTGACAACGTCTACTTAGTAACGTGCTCGGAGGAGGATGAGTTGATGTTCGTGACCAGGTATGTAACCGAGGACAACCCAGGGGAGCGAATTGGTGATTATGATGATCAAAATGACGTGGAAGATGATGCTGAAGCTGATTTCACTGTACCCGATTCGGATTCGGATGACGGGCATCGCGTCCCACCGGGAATGAATTTAGCCGCCAGGGTGAGACACACGACTA